TTTTCTTTCACTTTTTTCTTTTTAAAAAACATTTTTCCATATGATCGGTAGAAAGTTAACCTATTAGACCTAACCTTTAACCTTATATCAACATAATATTTCACTTGTAATTTTTCTTTTTATTTTTATAATTGCATTATAAGAAATTATTAAAGTATTAATTTTATTTATTTATATTAATTTTTTTTATATCGAAGAGGGATAAGAAAATTATAAAAGATAGAAAAAGAAGAAAAGTTTGGATGTGGGTGTCCAAGGTCTTCAGCTTGCCATTTACGGTTGTATGCAAAACCGGACACAGAGAGCAGCGACAATGAACAAGACTGACTGAGAATATGGATCTGAAAGATTCAGAAAGGAAAAACCATAGCGTGTTTAAAGCCTATTCGCAAGTGCTCAAAGAATAACACAAATCTTCATCTTGAGGACGTTGAACTTTGTCATTCATAGTTAAAAATTTTTTTCTCACAATTAATGTGAATTATGGAGGTATGATTCTATGAAGCGACGATAATGGCTATGAAAATTGTCATTGAAGTTCTTTATGAATGTGTTCATGTAAAATGAACGATGAGGATAATATTATGATTACAATGATTAGATAATAATATCTTTATAGAGATGGTAAATATAATAATTATTATTTATTAATTATTATTATTATTAATTATTAATATTATAATTAATTATAATATTAATTATTTTGTGCGAAAATATTTTTGTACAACTTTATGATTTTTGAATGTATGAAAATATATGAGATTTATATACGTAAAAATAAAAAATTTGGTAAGATCTAAAAATTTTTCGCTATATTGTATATTCCTATCATGCTACATTCTATAAAACGAAATAATCTTAACTTGCAATTCAAAAATCCTCGTTATTCTGAATCAAACTCACGCTTCGCGATCCAAAATCTTAACAGCAAAATTTCAAAAGCGTAGAGAAGCAGGGGCAAAAGTACATAGTTTCTGCGAAGTCCTGTACTACGACATAAGGCCACGCACTCGCAGGCGTAAATAGGTGGGTGGTTAGGTAGGCAGGAAGGATAGTCGTAAGGAACCAATGGTGCATGCTATGTTCTTGTGCATAACGCGATCTCTGTGTATATGTGAACATGATTCGCGTGTATGCGTGTATACACAGAGACCGAAAGTAAGAAAGAGAGAGGGTGTCGAGAGAAGAACCGCTCGAACTGGCTGTGTTAAGAGGTCTCCCCTGTCGCAGGTAAAACGCCGCCTCTGGAAAGTGAGTTCAGTTGCGGCCGCGCGATCGCGTTGGACGACATTTACCTGCGCGTGCAAACTCTTCGATTCAGGAGTGTACCGCTCGCTCCGGGAGCCTCGCGAGTGCCATAGAATCGCATCCTCACACATTGCAACCGATCCAGCTAGACAAGGTACGAGAAACTACCTGTTACGCTTCCTATATATACAAAACAATTCAGTGATTCTATCGTAAGTTTGTTGCTTTCAGCTAGAATAGTATTTTTGGTTATGTTATATACATTTGATTCGTTTATCTTTCTTCATCTCGTATATACTCGTATAACTAGTGAAAGATAGTGAAAAATATGTATAAATCTATAAAGTGGTATAGAAGTGAATATAATAGGTATGGCAATTCGGCCTCGACACGGCTGCGTGCACACGTTGATTCGATTTGTAGGAAAAAAAGGAGATTCGTCCTCGCGGATGACGGCATCGTGACACCCACGTAGATCGAAAACTATACACATATAGTATATTCCGTCGTAAGTTTTCTTATCGAATTCTTTCTGACATTTAGCACGCCTCCGCGTGATCATCAAACGTCACTGTCTTTCTCTTCCTTCTTTTTCATTTCATTCTTTGTAATTCCTTGCTTAAACAATAATTCGAATATTTTCCACGCTGCTTGCACTTTTGGTTTTCACTTTCTCGAAAAAAACGTGACTGTTTCTTTCACATACATAATTGTTACTTTCATATATATCGTGTATCTACTGTCGATAACTATCGATGTATCCGTCAATTTAACGAAGTTGTAGATGTAAGAAAATATTAGTAAGAAAAGTTGTTCGTGCGTAAGGATTAAATTATTTTCACTAACAATGAGTGTTGGGTGTTTATAGAAAGATGGTACAATCTGGAAAAACGATCCAGTTGCTCCGACACTGGTTGGTTGCCTTGCAATCGAGCCGTCGAATAATCCGTGTGCGTGCCTCGCTATTATACAGAACACGACGCGCTGGGGAGGTCCGTAGAGGTTTCGCAGCTTCTACATTTCGGCCGCAAAACGACGAAACCGTGCGGATAAACGAGCCGACCGAGTCCGGGTCCCGCCCCCCGTCGAAAACCGGTCCTGCTCGCGGCCGCTAACCGATTTTGCCTGGCGAACACACGCGATCGCCATCTTGAATCTGCTGAGAATGACGTCATTGGTACAAGGCACGGCCGCTTGCTCAATTCTAGCTGCAGCTAGAGATGGAAACAGGGACCGCGGCCAATAGCGATGCTTTGCTGAATGGGCCTTGATATTTTGCCTTTCGATTTTATTCAATTTTTCATAGTTTAACTCAAAAAGGATTTATTTCATTGAACTGGACTGGATTTTCATTTTGATTTTTTTCTTCTGGAAAGTTGAGATTAATTAATCCATCGAAATAATACATGAAATGCGAAATTATTTTTAGCAAATCGTATGATAAAGAAATTATGAAATTATTTTTGATTTAATAATAATTTTTATTATTATGATTAATACACGAATGATTAGATTGAATGAATTTCTATTCATATGGATTACTATTCGAAAGATGTAAACAATGGGATTGATGGGGTAGTTCCTACGCCTATGCATTTTCTGCGATCTCTAGAGAGATTGCACGGTGCAGATGATTCTTCTGTTTAGGTGGATGTTTTCTTTTTGTTAACTTTTAGACTAAAATATTGCTTATAAAATTAATTAGAAATTTAATCCCTTGACAAAATCTTATTATAATGGAACTCTATCGTCATCAATGAAATTAAGTAAAAATAAATCAGAATGTAAAATTTATTGAAATATATATATATATATATATATATTTTAAAATTAATAATTATTCAAGAAAGCTGAAATTAATTATTATGTATTATATCTATTAAAAATCATTTATAATTTTAAAATTTTTGGAAAATAAAATTTAATGTATAATTTTGATAAAATTAATAGTGTAATTACAGTACAATTATAATTAATATTATGAACGAAAATATGATCTTAGAATCGTCGATCGAGATTTATTAATGATTGTTATGAATGATGATATTGTTATTTTTCATATATCGAATTGATTTGCATTAAATTATACATGATATGGTAAATATGATGATGTGCAATGATGATGGTGTCTAAATAATGATCACACAATAGAGCATTGCTTAAGATCCTACGCCTATGTATTTTCTGCAATTTCAGATGGTATTGCATAGCAAGGATTCCATACTTATATTTCTTATTGGGATAAGATTAATAATTCATTTTATTTTTAAAGTCTCTCGTATATTTGAAAGTGAAAAGAATTAAAAGTGAATTTATGCATTCGATTAAATCTCATGCATTTATTATATTAAAAATTATTTATACTAATCGCAAATAATTATCTTTTACATTTATACATACTATCAATTAAAATAAATTATTTTAAACAAAATGTCAAATGGTGAATAATATAATATTGAATTTTTAAAAATTTTTAATAAAATAATTGTTTATAATTTTCATTAAACTTTGTATTAAATATGATATTGTAAAAAAATTTTAGAAACATAATTTGTCACATATTTTATTTTAAAAATATTCAATATTTTATTATTCATTTTTCTAACTCGATTTCACCATGAACAGTTGTGTTCTAGCTTAGTGTTTTGTCATGTTTCTTGTCTTATACGTCAGATACGACAAAGATAAGAAGTTCTATTTTTAAAGAATAATCATTTCTGTTATCGTTATTTAACTGCAAAAAAATATTTTAAAACGAAGCAAATTTTTATATCAATGAAAATAAAAAAAAATATTATCCATTATATAATTCTAAATGTATTTTTTATTTAAAATTGATTTAAATGCAATAAATGAATATTTTGAGATTTCTGGAAAAATGAAAAAAAAAATCAAGAATATGTATCTTCACAATGAGCAATTGTCAAAAGTTATAACTTTTAATATACGGTGGATTGTTTCATGTTCCGTGACAGTGATCTTAAATGATTTTTTTAGAATCTAAATTCTGTAATTTCTTGTCCAACTGTTTTAATGAAGCGAAATAAAAAATGAAAGTTACTTAAAAATTTAATATCATTTCAATAAACTTTGTATAAATACACATTTATTTAATTTATTAATTATACAATAAATAATGGTAATAATTTCTAATATATAAAAACATATTAATATAAATGAATATATTATGTGCAATGTTAAGAGAAATATACTTTACACGACATTTTAAGAACTGGATTTAAATGATAATTTGATATTCGAATATAAATACTGGATTTCGCAACAACTGAAACTTTCACTGCAACTTTAAGTTTTTTAAAACCATCTTAATATAATATAATATAAAAGTTCGTAAAAGTATTTTACATTACAAATATTGCGTATGTGCATGTAAAATATAAATAAGAAACACGTGAAAAAAAATAGATGTGATTATATAAGTACTTGTGTACATAGAAGTTTTTTACTCATACCAAGTATATTTTTACCTGTCGATAAAGAAATGAATATAAAAAAAAATTTGTTCAATGATGTAAATGAAAATTAGCATAATTATTATTCCGATTGAATAGTAAAACATTGATAAATAGTTTGAAAAATTATTTTTTATAAAATTAATATTTTTAATTTTTAATTTTATCTTTTTACTTCTCATTAATTATTATTCAATTGTTGAATTGTAATCATTGTTCTGAAAATATTTTACTACTTAAAATAGTAAAAAAATAATTTAGTACGATATTTAATATATCAAATGTTCATGTTCACGTGTAAGAATTAAACATTCGATAAAATTGCAAGTAGTTAATCTTGAATTACCGGTTATGCAGAAATCTATCTTTTTGATGAAAGATATAAAATGAATAAAAAATGAATATATAATTAATAGAATACAATTTATAATTTCCTATCGATAAATATAATTATTTATTAATTTTAATTATTTATTCATGTTATTATTATTATTATTATTTTCTTCTCTATGAATTTAATTTAATTCCGTAATATTAATTATATATTTATATAAATGTGTTGTATAATAGATATAACATACTTTACTTGTAATTTACAATAGATACAAATAAAAAAATAAAAATACGTATAATGTATTATTCGTAACATAATAACATATACATATAAAAATCAATTCTAAGATGGTAATCTTTTTAGTAATTCTAGGCCACAAGAGGTATAGTATGTTAATGTTATGCATTAAGAAAAAGCCAGTTTGTTTCATTTCTAATTGCTTTTAACGAGATGTGAAAGTTTTATTATTGTTTATTCACAAAGTTCCATTTTACGTAATGTTATTTGTTAATTGTTAATTGTTATTTAATGGAAAAGGAAATGATATAAATTATTTACAAATAAATAAATTCAATATCTTTTCTATTATGTAAAATCTTAAAATTTTTTACATCATAAAATTTGACAGACTCCAGATTTTAATTATATTGTTAATTAAAAAAAAAAAAAACAATTATACAATATCTTACTGCTAATAATGTTTTGTAATGACATTCGTAAAACGTGTTATATTATAAAATTAAAGATTCTATCTTAAAATAAGAGAGTTCATTCTTACCTCTTGATAAATTAGAAGATAAAAATGTAAAGTTCTCAGCCGTCTAAATAATAATAATAATAATAATAATAAAAGTGTTAAAACCGTTAAGTGTGCTAACCTTGGCATCGTGATATCGATAATCTGTTGGAATATCCTGTACAAATGTAACCGCGTAAAAGTTAGAAATTACGAGCACGATAAAATTTTTTTAACATTATTATTCATCCTAATTTATATTTCTATTGGCCCTGTTCCTTTTAACAACTAGATAAAACAAGATCGATCGCCAATACAAGAAAATTGCAATACAAGGAACAAACTTGAAACATGAAGTTGCATAAAACCTCTTCTTGACACATTTCGATTGATTCTTAACGTGCATCGTACAAGGGCACATGGCGCATGCACAAGCCAGAGTTTCGCGTGTGCGTGCGCTAGTGAAAGTAGAGTGTTTGCGCAACGAGACGACAATGTTGTCTCCTTCGGATACTGGTTCGACTTTAAAGGCTCGATGCCTGTCTCCTAGACTTTCAACCTGGCCGGCTATTAACGTCATTCTCGTTACGCGTTCACCATTTTTTTTTTTTTATTCCCTTGAATCAGTATTTTTACCATGGGAGTCTGTTTCTTCTTTTGATTGGCATGGAAATGGCTCGCGTGTTCCTACGGTATTCATAACGGCAACAATCTTAAAATGAGGTCTGAAAAAGATAATCTCAACGACGTTTACGCATAAACACAGGAAGAGTAGTACAATTCAATTTGCAAATTATGATCTTTTCTACTATTGATCTTTACACAGAATTATTTCTGTAATTTTTGTGAAATAATTTTAAGAAATTATCTTTGTATGTATGTTATTTGAATGAAATAATGGAATATATGATTTTTTTTTTAAATATATTTTGATTTTATTCTTTAATTATTTTGAAATGATATAAAAATTTATTAAAATAAAAAAACAAAGATGAGAAATATGTCTAAATATTTGTTAAAATAAAACATTTTTTTTTTAACATATCAAAAAAAGGCAATAAACCTTGTTGCTTCTCGAAACACCCTCCAAAAATTCTCATAAAGCTTTCAAAATCCTATTCTCCGTTTCCCCTTATCAAACTTTGAAAAGCATTTCAAGCGAAATTTCTCAAATACAATTGCACTATTTAAGGTTATTTTTTTTTTTCTAATAAAAATATATATTAATAAATGCGAAATTTGCACAAATATGTATGTATAAAAACATAATGAAAAAGAAAATAGAATATAAAAATGTTAGATTTTTAGAAATAAAAAAAAAAATAAGAGAGAAGATAAATTATTATATAAAAGATTCTACAGGCGATTATCGAACAACTATCTTTTAGAATGATGCGATGGCTTGGCATGTGATCTGCATATTCATTTTTATTGAATCATTGTATTGAAGGTTTTCAATCATCACGTAAGATTCATTCTTTTCGTTACAAACGTTTTAAAAACAGAAAAAAGATTTTACTACCTTCCTTTAGTATCCTCGTGCGCAATGGTTAGATTTCACGAACACGAATTTAGACGATCTTAGACGAACTTGAACGAATTAGAAAGTGATAAACGTAGTGTCTCTATACCGCTAGTAGTAGTTCCTTGACAATAGATGCGGATGGATCTTTTTGACTAATTTTGTCTAAAAAAATTAAGTTAAATTAGATTTAAGGATTTACCAATATTTTTTGTTCATTTACTTTTTAAAGAAAATGAAAAACATTAATTGATTGTGAAAAATAAAATGGATATATACGTTCGACTATTTCACGACATAATATTAAAAAAAAAAACTGCAGGAAATTGCTAGGTCGAAGTAATTTCAAAAAATGGCAAAAATAATTTTACCAATCTCTCAACGAGGCAATATTGTAAGTGATTTCGCTTTGCATACATGGATTCGAAAAACAGAATAAATATATGAACAAATACAAAAACAAAAGATAGAAAAGGATAGGTGGTGTATGAAACAAATTTTTGAAATTGAAAATCACTTTTAAATTGCAAATTTTAGAATTAAACAACATTGAGTTCAAAGACAGCAAATAAAATATGCGAAAGAGATAAAGTAAGATATATATATATAATAAAAAAGTAATAAAAGATAGAAAATAGAATGGAATAGATATATCTAGAAAAAGAGATGCGTCACGCTGTCGGGAAGAAACAATCTGTGGAAGAGGTGTGTCACAACATTCCTTGTTCAAATTACCAATTACGAACACGTACGCGTCTCTTACACGAAAAATACGTGTAGACTCGACAACTCCACCCGATTCGCCGACTCAGAACGTGATCGACAAGACGATTTCGTTCCATCCAGTTGCGTGCAGGTAGCTAAACACTTTTCCTATGAATAACTCATTGTTATTAAGCTTTATCTTCACGATGATCTTTATGATAAAGAATTGACAAATCAAATGATCAAATGTTTTTCTAATTAAATAATTAAATAAATAATTATATAAATTGTATTATAAATTTTTTAATTATTGAATTTTATCATTAAAAATATGATTAAAAGAGATAGTATGTTCATTGAAATATGAAGAAAAATATGTTTGTTTAAAATTTATTTTCTTATTACGTAAACAAGTATGGGTAAAGTGGAAGTGAAGAAAACTAGAGAGGAACTGGCCAGGGGTCAGTAGCTTTCATTTCCAGAGTGTTTCTCCATTATTGAAATTATTGTTGTGCAAATTTGTAGTGACTCTCTAGTTGAAAATTCAAAGTTTATAAAATAATTATTTATTCCTTAGATATTTTAAAATATATGAATATAAAATATATATATATATCAAAATATTAACAATTTAAATAAATATTCAATGTATTATAAAATATTTGAAAAAAATTTTGCAAAGTTTGAATAAAAATATCAGTGATAATTAAATATTATATTAAATAATGTATATTATGAATAAAAACATAAAAATTCTGTTTCAGTTACATAATTAGCCAATTAGAAATGTTAAATGTTGTATTACCGACTCGTAGCGAAATCAAAAGAGAGGTTATATCCTATGATATTCATAATGATTTTTCTATGCTTTTTAAAAATACAAGATCCTAAGTGTCCTATTTAATAAATAATAAGAAATTTAAAAACACTATATATTTATAATGTTTTAACGCTCTCCTAAAATAAAAGTTCAAACTTTATTCCGTTGCAAAACCTTGAAAGTTTCAAACATGAAACAGTCTAACGCTTTCTATATTTCACAAACTAAAAACTTTTGATGCTGTTTTAGATTTTTGAACATATGCTTACGAATTCTTTTTGACATATTCCCTTAGAGATTCCCAAGACCTACATACATATTTCACTTCACAAAAATTTCCTCTATATCTTCGTAAAATTTTCCTCTTCCTTTCTCGCATAATACACTCTTCATAACCTAACAAACTTTCACTGCGTAATAAGAAAACCTGTCAACATGACTGATCCGCTATATTCACATTTCCTGATTCTCATTTTCTGAAATTTTTCGTCCATTCCCGTGTACATCTTCGTAAAATTTTTCCCTTCCTTTCTCGGATAATATTACTCTTCATAACCTAACAAACTTTCACTGCGTAATAAGAAAACTTGTCAACACGACTGATCCGCTATATTCATATTTCCTGATTCACATTTTTTTTTCTATTCCCGTGTATTTTTTGAAATTCTAAAAATCTTATAAAATTATAATTCATACTGATGTTTATTATGCAAAACTACATTATAAAATAATTTATTAAATAAATATTGCATTTTTAAAAAATTCTTTTTTTAATTTTTTTTTTTATATGCAACGAACAATTTGTGATTCCATATAAAACAAAATTTCCATTATACTTATCTTCGCTATCTACTTTTACTTCGCTAATTTTAAAGAAAATTAAGAAAAGAAAGTATAGAAAATAAAAGATTGAACAAAAAATTTTGATGGAGGTTAAATATAGTTGTTCAGATATGACTCTTTTTAATTATTCCTCTTTATTTGTGGATGATTTAGCGAGATGAAAAATTACGTGGTATCGACCTCGCCTGTTTCCTGTTCATACACATGCAACAAGTAATTATTCTACTTACCAATGTGTACGTTCTCTTCTCGCCGAGACCTCGACCGATTCTTTTAGCTAGGCATGCTCGATAGTTAGATAAAATAATATTTCGTAAAGTTGTTTGAAAAAAAAAATAAATAAAAAACAATTGATGGAAGAGATTCAATACTGGACAAAATGATTGTGAAATAATTATAATAAATAACGTCATTAATAATCGTTAATTAGTAAATCTTTAGGTAATATTAATTTTCAATGTGAATAGGACGTAGATATATAATTTCATCGACAATTTTCAAATTATCGTTTATTAATAAACAGGTGCAAGATATTTGATTAAACAGTTGCCTCTTATCCTTTGAGCATAAAAAAAAAATATGAGTACTTATCTAGAAAATTATTCGAATGTTATTGATTATTGAAAACACCAAATATGTCAAAATTGTTTAAAATAATAAAATAGAAAAAGAAAATATATTTCTTATGTTCGTTACGTGAAGATATTTTTACTAGATGTATAGAAATAAATCGCGAAATCACGCGATAGATGAAAGAAAAAGCAATGGTTAGATGCATGCACATAGTTATGCAACATACTTGTGCTTTCGTGAACGTGTATCTCGTGTATCACGTTATTTAAAAAATTTCCCACTTAGCATTATAATAATTATTAAGAAAACTAATTATTAATTGTGACATTAAACGCAATAAAATTGGATTATATTTATTTAATTATTATTTATCTATTTAATTTCCAGATCATGCGATTATCGTAGCGAGATTAAATCGAGGGACAAGGAGAAGAAAATTCAAATATTAACGCGGTTAAAGCAATAAACGTAAGTATAACAAAAGTTTCAAAAATTCGTTTTTTAAATATTTTGCATTTTTATTTAATCTAGGCGAAAATTATTTAATACGTATAATTATGTTCAACACATATAAAACTGTAATCTTTCGATAAAAATTGATGAATATAATAATTAGACAATGAATTTACTTTAATATGTACGATGAATATAATTCAATATTAGAAAGGAAAAGAAATTAATGTGTTAATTTCGTAATTCATTAGTGAAAATTGTATACATAACGTGAAATTTATAAAGCCAAGTATTGAAACAGTGGTCATTATTATCCATGATTCCCATGAATCAGCAGTTTGCTAACTTAAGTGATGGCATAAGCATTATATATATATAATCTTCATCGGCTATTAGATGGATTCGTGGTATGTATTTTGAAATAAACAGTAACGACGAAGAAAGGAAGACAGTGGTATCGGATATTGAATAAATATTCGTAACATATAACTGTATCTATATCTATAAATATCTATAAATCTACAGAATAGATTTTCTGCTTGTATTATAACGATTTATTTCTATTGAATCTATTTATCAATAATCAAATAATCAAAATAATATATATTAATGATTTTTATAGGAAATATATTTAATTAATTTATATGCAATTGAATGAGATATTACATATAAAAAGAAATTGAAAAAGATAATATGAGCGAAAGAGAAAAAGAGCCGAGGATCAAAATAAACATATGATTCGTTCTAGTGTTTCGAGAATCCCCACCTTCCACGGCTAGAAGTCGTGGGTGGGGAGGCTTACGCCATAGTTCGTCCCGTACAGTTATTCAACGTTTACCGTGAATTTTCTACGAAATTTTAAATATCGAAATCAAACAGTGATTTGACGAATGATTCGAAAGTAAATCTCAAACAAGATTGGAAACCGTTATTCTTTGAATAAATTGAATAAATTCCATTGGCGAGGAAAAGTCGAATTATTTAAATCTTTTCTAGTCGAAAATATTCGGTTAAACGATCAAACGAAACTAGAAGCTAGCTCGACAAAAGAACAAAAACCTTTTGACTGCGACAAGGCAGATACAGAGAAGGATTTGACGAATACCAGTGAATAGGTGAAACAAACGCGCCGGTTCGTTAGTGATTCTGTGTAAAAGGACTATTATCGTGGCGTGTAACGGTGCGAGTGCATCAGACCATATCAGAACTTTCCTTGGACGAAGCAGCATCACGCGACAAGAGCTGGCAGAGGGTTTCGGATGAGCAAGGAAGTATCGAAGCGGTTCTCTGTGCACGTTGCGCAATATTTCCATTACAAAGCTTGGGATGATGCCTGATACAACTCTGCTCGGCTCGGGTCCGCTTGGAATGCAACGCGGAAGAAATTTGATCCTTTAATGATCGTCATTCAACGCCACGGAATCTTCCTCTTTTAAGAAGGCGGATGAAACATTCACCGTGACCCTTGTGAAAAATGGCCTCTCCAATGGAGATTCTGTAATTTCGTCATGTATCTTGGAAAGAGAAGAATAGAGGATCAAAATTGCATGTGTACGAGTTTTTGTGTGAAAGAAAATTCGAAGTTTTAAATAGGTAGGTAAAAGTATACGGTTATCCTAATTTCTTTTTGATTGATAGGTTAGAAAATGTAAATTAATTTTTGAATAATTGATTATTGAGGTTAGGTTTTCAGCAGTCATTTCACGCTTAAAGAGCTTGTTACAATTTGTTTATAAACAATCAAATAAAGGTAAATGTATTTATTTCAATTATGTATCCACTTTCGTTAAAATAAAGTTTCATTAAAATTAGCAAGTGGTTTCTTTGTAAGGCAACCGTATATAGATCAAGGAAGATCTGATTTGCACACAAAGCAGACCACGTGTTGCTTGGAACTGCTATATATGCTGGATTATTCGCGATAGTTCTTGCTGGTTCAACAGCAATATTCCTAGAGGATGTATCGTAAGCGTATGATTCATTAGTATCGTCACTGCGGTTAAATTTATTTCGCCACGTGCAAGCATAACCATTTCCTGTAAGCATCTAGCTGATTGAATTGGATGACGAACGGCGACAAAAAAACGAAGAATATTTTAAATTTGATCACTTGTCAATTAATTTATTGGATGAATCATTGGATGAGTTTTGTAATAATTATTTTACAAGAAAGTTCATTCGGTGAAACATTGATTGTTTGAATAATTATATTGATCATAGTGATGAATTATTAATAAATTTATGAAGTTAACTATAATACACTTGTAATTCTATCAAGATTTTGTTAAATTACAACGTAATAATATTTATATTTAATAAATTAATAAATTTAATGAAGTTGAATTTTGTAACTCTATTATTAAGGTTAGGTTATTACATATAACATTAACATTTATATAAATAATTTTAAAACACGAATTCTTTTTTCTCTTCGTTTAATTTTTCCTCTCATACGAACTTTAACTAAAATTGAAACGAAAATTCTGAAAACATGAAATGAAATCAGAATTACAAATGAAATCAAGAGTGGTCGAGTTTATCCCATTCAAAATGACAGGATTATAGAGAATCGTGTTGAATCGTATTTAGCCTCGTCCATGTGTAAAATTCTATCACCACCTTTGACTCTAACCATGGAATATTAATACGTGAAAACTATTAGGAGGAAATTTCGTCTTTCATCGCGCTTTCTTTGAATTCCACTTACATAGTACATCTGTTGGAACTCATCCGATATCGGTTACTTAATCAATATGCAGTAGCACGAACGTACATATCTTCGCCAGTATTCATTTTGCGCGTGCTCGGAACTTTTACGGATTTTCACGTTTTTTTTAATTCTTATTTTCCTTTTTCAGATAATTTTAATTTTTTACATATTAACAACATTATAATGTTCGAGGAGAATCTTCTGAATTTTTTACACGATAATGAAGGAAAAGCATCTCACACTTTTCATTTCAAGAATCTTAAAGCAAGGAGAAGATAAGGAAATTAGGAAAACTAAGAAGCATAGAAATAGAAAGCGGACTGAGAATCAAAATAAACATATCGATGAAATGTTTCATGCTATGCTAAAGCTGTTCTTTGTTGGCAAGAAGAACAAGATTTGCAACTCATTTTGAAAACTTATCCAATTCGGTGTTTACTTTATATCTATATTTATTTATGAATAAACATTCTACCGTACATTTCGTTTTAATATTTTTAAAACTGTTGTTGTTCACATTAACACATATAAAAAAATCACAAAATTCACAAAAAGTAAAGAAATAATATTTATGTATCAACGTTATGCATGTATATTTATTTATTTTAAATAGAGAAAAAGAGAATTAAATGTACATATATATATATGTGTGTGTGTGTGTTTCTGTAATCTTTGCAATGTAGAAATTCAACGCTGGATTAAATAGGAAATTTTTCTGCTTGAAAGATAAGCGTGGATGTTCAAGATGAACCATACATTGATTATTCCTGCTTGCAAGGGTTTCGAAGCTGTAACAAATGTATTGAGTTAATCATGGAAATAACTTTTGCAAAATTAGCTTGACATTCAATAAAGTATATTAAATATAGGAACATTATAAATAATATATTTTTCATAATGTATTAAAATTACCGAAGTCACGGATGACATTCTATCCTTTCTTTGAATTAATTTTCAGTTTTAATTTCTTTATAAATATCTAATTATAATTTCCTTAATAACTTTATCGATAATTAATCCTCGAACAATTTATTGTATATTGAATTTATAAATTTAGTGTTTTCTTTAAATGTTATTTATATGGAAGATAAAATATATAAATGAAAATAACTTGTAAATATATTTTATATTTTACTTCAGAGATTATTTTCTTGAATAATAAAAATATGCTTCACTCCATTGTTTCCAAGTTTTTACAAACATGTTTTTACATTCCTTTCCACGAAAGAATCAAAATTCCGGCGGATAGAAACGGGAACGGACCTAAGCAATAACCTAACCTAACCTAATCTAACTGGAACGTTATGGGACCGTTCTCCAACGTTGTATCTCCCTTCGAGGCGTAAAACTATCGTACAGTGTTGCAAACTTCAATGTCAGATTGGATTGTTCGCGGATAGAATTCTTACGTTTACTGTTCACGATCGATACGATTTTTACGTCGTTTGTTCGCGCTCGAGTGTTCAAGAAAAAAAGAATCGTTGAAAGAATAGATTTGCAGTGGTCGAGCCTTGCTTGCATAACCATATAGGATGACATTGATCGTGATTTTCGTAATATTTAAAGGTTTTTGTAATAAAAGATTAAAATGAATTTTTGGTACTGTATAATAATAATATTATATCGATATAACATCCGATATATAATATTTATCAATTATCATAACGGCAATAACATAGCGATGTTACAATAATATATTTTTTAACCAATAAAACTATTCCATCTATCGCAATTTACATTAGTGCATAAATCTGAAATAAGATGTACACTTTAGAAATCTAAAAAAATATTTAAAATAAATTCAAGTGAATATTTTCAGATGCTACTTAAATTGCTGGCCGTGCTCTGTACAGCACTCCCTCTGGTGCTGTCGCAGAGCAACTATGCATCGCAGGGAAATAGTATCGAATACCAACCAGGTTTACCGCCAAGCACGGTGTTGAACGGCAAGGTAACCAAATTGGACGACATCTCGTCGATGATATTTCTGAATCGCACGAAGGCGTACCTGAATTGCAGCCAGGGTAGCATGCAGGTTGAATTGAAGTTCGAGGAACCATTTTACGGAGTCGCCTACGCTGATTTCGATCGTAACAGCGCATGCATATTCAAAGGACGTGGCTCGACCAGCGCCAAGTTGGAACTACCTCTCAAAGGTATATTCTCTCTCTCTCTCTCT